AAGACAATGTTTCGACCTTTTCCCTTGGGCTAGAGTTCTTAAATGAGGCAGAAAAAGAGAAAAACAAAGCAAAAGGAGACTCGGCATCAGCGCCGTCACGATTCACTTCAACTGTTATTGTTTACCGTTTTTCGCGTCGGATTTGATGCACAATTCCACCGGCTATGTTCTAAAACAATTGGTTCATGCTTTCAGCTGTGCACTATCGAGTTATGGAGCACGTGGGAAGTTTGGAGCGCACTCAAGAAGCTAGAGTTGCCCTCGGCTATCGCCTTGGGCAACTCTTACGCTTCTTCTTCTCCGAACTTCCCGCGTGCTCCATAACTCGCTGGTGCACGCTAAAGCATGTACCAATTATTGGGGAAAAGACTAATGATCGATAGATGGGCTGCGTGGAGCGTTTACTGAGGAACCAGGCCTTACAATGTTAGTTTAAATACAGGAATCGGATAGGCACCCCTGGAAACGGAGTTATGAGGGCGTTGAATCGAGAAATCTCGAGGAAATGCGTCGATTTTAAATTCTGTTTCCATGCAAACCGATCAACAAATGGTGGACACAGTTGCGGAAATTGCGTTTTTCAAGCTTTTACCGATAAAGTTCATTTAAAAAGACTTCAAAATCTTAAAGTAGATAGGTTAAACCATCGATTTAAACCAAAAACCAAAAAGTGGTTGGATGACCAAAAATTCGCAAAAATCTGACTAAGCGGCCCCCTTAATTGGTATCTTGTTCATCTCAAACCAATCTGATATTTTATCTATGTCACTTTGAAAAGAGGTCAGATCTTTTACCAGGGGTAATTAGTAAGAACAGCTCATTATATGCTGATGATAGCAAAATATATAGTTATTAAAATAAAATAACTATATATTTTGCTATCATCAGCATATAATGAGCTGTTCTTACTAATTACCCCTGGTAAAATAACTATATATTTTGCTATCATCAGCATATAATGAGCTGTTCTTACTAATTACCCCTGGTAAAANCAGATCTTCTGTTGTAAGTGTTTACATCTGGAAGCTGTTTTGATTTTACCTTGATTGAGTGGTAGCTAGCTCCAAAATCGTTTCGGGTTTATGATGTGGGATGCAGCAGAAGTAGCCACATGCAGTCTGAATTGCCTTTTATTTACTCATAACAGCTAGTACTGTTGTTTTTCTTTACGTTGTGTCCGAGAGGAATATACATAACTAATCGGTAATGACTTCTGAATGGGTCAGACGGTTCAGAGGTGTCAACGTGAAATCAGAAAATCCTAGATCCTGATACTGACGCCCTAAAGGGCTACATTACGGTGCACACGAAAGAAACACGTTTTTTAGTAGCTATTTCAACCTTTTGGGGGAGCGGGAAGGAAGTGGAGGCGCATATAACGGCAGGTTAAAACAGGTGTCCCAAAACCAAGGTACCTTAATCGTTCTGAAAATCAACAAATGTACTTCTTTTTTTTTTTTGGAGAAAAAATGTTTTCGAAGAGGAGTGGGGTTCAGCAATCCACGGATATTTTTTCCCTTTTGTTTTATTATTTCCATAGCCATTAACAGCTTACGACGAAGTACACGTGTTTTTCCAAGGTTTTCCCTACGGAAACGTCTTTACTCTCGATCTCGAGAAATCTCTCGAATCGCAATGCGTTCGTTTTGATCTCTCCCCAGACTCTCTCGCCAAATTATTTAAGATGACGCGTTTGGATCTTGTGACCCCGTTGACACGGCCCACTAGTACCGGAAGTTATCGGAATGTATCGCTAGGCGCCTCCCTCGGCCAAATACGTTAGATAAGCCAATCTGAGCCTACTGATTTCCTCGAGAAATGAATCTTTTCCATGGAAAAGAAATCGTGGACGCTCATATACGTGAGTACGCACACAATCATACAGTACAAAATGCATTGCTTACGAATGAAACAAAATGAAATGAAATTATCTTAATTTACACAAATGCATCAATTTGGTTATTGTCTACAATAGGAAAACTACCCATCAATCCTAATTTACAAATGAATATTAAATATTATCTATGATAAAAGGGCGTTCAGTCCTAATTTGTAAATATATAACAATCATCGTACAATGATACAATTAACTATTTGAAAAATATAATCGATAATCTTTCAATAGAGGTTTTGCACGGCAGCCATGTTGGATGGCAGGAAGAATGAAGATATTTTGTATAAGAAAGAAATTTTTTTTCCAATGGGTTAAATAATCTATTGCTCCTGCCATCCAACATGGCTGCTGTGCAAAACCTCTATTTCCGCGCTCTTAAACATAGCTAGATTATTACAATTAGTGATAGCAGTCGGCAATGAGTTCCACTTAGTTACTGATCGGTACAGAAAAGATCGCTGCCCAGTAGCAGATTTTGTATTCTGGAATATCTAATTTGTTCTTATTTCTAGTATTTCGATCGTGTACAGTACTGAGCCCTAGTAACCAGGCTGGAACAGAGATATCTATAGGCGCTAGTCCATTAACACATTTAAACGTGAGAATGCCAACAGTATATTTCAACATACTTCTAACAGGAAGCCAATTTAAGTCCCTTAGGACAGGTGTTATGTGTTCGAATTTTCTCGAGCCTGTGATAACTCTTGCAGCAAAATTCTGGACACTTTGCAGTTTGGAGACGTTCTTCTTTTATGTACTGGACCATACAGGAGAACAATAAAACAATCAACTAAATACCAAAGCATGGATAACATTCTCTAAAGACTTTGAGTCAAAAAGATGTTTAATTCTGTTAATCTGGCAGAGGCTAGCAAAACAAGATGAGACAGTGTTCATAATACATTCATCAAAGCTCTGCATTGTGTCCATTTCTATGCCGAGATCCCTTGCTGAGTTGGATGGAGTAACTTCTTTGCCTATATAGTAAAGTGACATGAAAATCTTTGGGGAGTCTTTGCAGGATCTGGTGATTTCCCATGACTAAGAGTTTAGTCTTATCAGGGTTGATAAGGAGACCATTATAGCAGCACCACATAGCGATCGATCTTAGCTAGGTCTTCCTTTATCAGCTGCACCACTGCAGTAGCATCTTTGACAGGAAATTACAAGTGCAGCTTTGAGTTGTCAACAAATGATTCCAATGAGCCACTTTCTGGGACGGTAGGTAAATCATTTATGTATAGGTTAAAGAGGGCTGACCCCAGTATCAAGCCTTGTGGAACTCCATAAGTGATCAGGCCGAGGTTCGAGGTCTCAGAACCAATCCTGATGTACTGTTGACACCCAGTTAGATAACTTCTAAGCCATTCTAATGCAGTATGACCATGCAATTCCAAGAGCCTGTAGTTTGGAGAGAAGTCTGCTGTGGTCAATACTCTCAAAGGCTTTTAACAAATCCAGTAGGACCACAAGGGTCAATTTCTTCGAATCCATTGCTTCTAGTACCTTATCCATCATCATAACATTTAGTGTTTCGCACAAGTGTAATTTTTTATTGCCACTTTGATGTTCAGTGCTCAAGGCACCTGTTGTTATTCATATAGGTGGCTAGCTGGTTCAGAGCTACTCGTTCGCACACTTTGGATGCTACAGGCAAAAGCGAGACTGGGTGATTATTCGTAGCAATCTCGTGGTCCCCTTCTTTCAATAATGGAACAACCTCAGATTTTTTCCAAGCTAACGGGAAGACTGAGGTCAATAAGAAACGGTTAACAATAACTGTAAGAATTGGAAGAATACATGGAAGAGCATCCTTAAGTACAGATGTTGACACTTAATCGTTACCCAGGGCTTTGTTTGACAGTAAAAGACATCACGATCTTTTGAATCTCCTTACTAGACACCGGATGGAAACAAAACTTGTCCACTTCTGAGATTTCATTATCTGGAACAATGGCCAATAGAGGGGCCAGATTGTGAACGTCCAACAGGGACCGGGAAGCCTCAGAAAAAATTTGGGATCGGTAAATCAACTTTAGGTGATTATATCTATGCCTTTAAGGCATGATACAAGACACATCTACTACAATTGCTTTTAAGCAAGATCGAAAGGGCTGAAAGTATTTCTGAACTCTATAAAGAAATAACTTTACTAGACGCTATCAACTGGATTGCCAAGGCATGTTCTGAGACAGCCCCATTGTCACTTACAAAGTGTTTCAAAACCACCGGCCTTCCTGTGACTGACAAAGAAGAAGATGACTACAAAGATGAAGACGACAATTCGCTGTCGCTTCTTGCTCAACAGTTGAGAGTCAATCAGTCAATCTTGCAAAACATTGAACCACCAACAGAAGAAAACATTGGGGACTGGGAAACAGACCTGATATCAAGCTTTACTGAACCAATGGCTGAAGAGTCAAATGAACAGTTTGTCCATGATGATGAGGAGAAGCATGTTGATGTTCCTGGCAGTAATCTTTCACATAAAGAAGTGCTTGATATAGTCACTAAGTTAAAAAATGTTGTGGTTCATGAAGGTGAGAATTATCTCCAACTGCATGGTTCTAGAGCTGGAAAATTTAAGCAAAAGAAAAATAGTTGAACAACATTGCAATCAGATGCAGTTAACAATGGATTCTTTTTTCCAAAAGCATTGTGGAAATGTAGACAGAGAATCTTGAAGATTCCATGTTTAAATGATTTAAAAGTGGCAATCATATTACCCTGGGTGTAACATTGAATTTTTTTGTACATTTAATAAAATGATGTTGAAAAGCATTGTGATCCATGTTGTTTGTTCCTCTTACTACTGATGTGCTTTATTAGTGCTGGTACTTACAGTTAGACAATACATAATTTATGCAGCATAAAATTGCCTTATGTGTAAAACCTCAGTACACTGGACACTCCTCTGAACCAGACCTTACTTTTGCAAGGGACTTTGCTGCAAATGAGGAAGGGCTCATAGTCTTAATGATTTATGAAAATTTGTTATTCTTTAACTTCTGAATTTTAAAACCAAGTCATAAAAACGTTGGAACCTGCTATATGACTTCCAAATGCAGGCCACCAAATTGGCAACCTATTTTAAAATTCATGTGCTTATTTGCTGAAGTTTTACCCTTTTCTCATGGCAATCAAAATAGCTTAGCATATTACATATGCAAATAAATAACTATTAATTATTCTGTTCCAGATTTATTGCCCTCCGATAAGTTTTACTATCCATGGCCTTCTGCTGAGCTGACTGCTATTTATAGACCATTCTACTTGAATGATCTTGAAGAAGCACTTATTCCATCCCCTGTGAGAAAAGTGGTCTTTGTCCAAGTCAACCAAACCTACGAAGAAACAGGTATATAATAGAACTTTTAAAAATGACACTTTATAGTGTGCCCTCATTAGGCTGTGAATTGTATTTTCAGTCCAATTTTTTTCAGTTTTCTAATTTTTTTCTTTCATTATTCTTTGATGATTTTTCTGATTCTTGATTTATGCTGTCAAAATGAGAATGGTCTATTATATTTCCAGTAAAGTTGTGAGTGCAGCTGCTTCACAGATTCTTAAATGGTTGATTTTTCTTTAATTTTATATTATTTCTACTTGACATGGTCTCAGCCAGTGGACACTCTTATCTACAATGTACTTTGTAGTTCATCAATTATTGCCTGTTGGTCAAATGTTTTTAAGTTTGCTTGAATGTCTTTTGAATTGCAATTTTCTTTTTCCATCCTGCCTTGGTATGTTTCTTTTTATTCATGCTTGTTGCATGTGATCTGAGCAATTAATCAATCACATTAAGAGACCTTCAGAAATTTTCTCAAGACTAATTGTAGATACTTTGGTGGATTCTAATATTTGGAATAAGATACAATGATAATTATAATTTTTAATTAATAATTATTACATCTTTGTTCTGAAATAATCCTATATTATAATAATAACTCCACAAGTATCTTCAATATCTTGTAATCTCATCTAGCTGTAGGAGATTTTGCTTGAATTATTGACATTAAAGGTTATTTATTACTGTTATAAAACAGACTGGATACTAGAAGTGGCCAAAGAAAGTTCAACAATTGTTGGAGTAGTTGGATGGGTTGACCTTACTGATCCAAAGGTAACTCACCCTGCAAACTTTAAAATGTTGTAATATTATCATCTGTAAACACAGTTTTGATCTGATCTTCTGACCAAGGAAACACTTGTTATTGTTGAACAGTAATCTAACTTAATTTTGCAAAACTTTAGTGTCAGTTTGATTTTACACAAGGTTAGTTATTGCATTAAACATTAATTGCTAAGCGAGAAAAAAACTGGAGACAATTTCTTGTTGGTTTTTAAAGGTTGATGCTGTTCTAGACAAGTATATGAAGCATCCAAAATTTAAGGGGGTGAGAAACATCTTAGAAGGGGAACCAGATGATTGGTTGGGCAGAGAGTCTGTTCAGAGAGGTTTAGGTAATTATTGTCTGTAGGCAATCTTAAATAAAGCCATATGATATTTGAATAATTCATAATTTTTAATTTTTGCAGATTTTGTAGTTTGTCACTATTATGCAAAAATTTGTCTCAGCAGACTGAAAAAATCAGGCCCAAAAAAAAAAAAAAAACTCTGCAAAATTTCCGACTTCTAGTGCAATTAACAATTATAATCACCGAAGGCGAGGTGAATATTGTCGAATAATCCCTAAGACAAAGTTGAGGGGATTATTCGACAATATTCACTGAACCTGAGGTGAATAATTGTTTTAGTATAACTTCAGAGCTGAACAACAGAGAAATTTCTAAAATCATAACATTTTAGTAACATTTATTAACATTTTATTTTAACATTTTATATAAACCACATGGAGTGGTTTATATAAAATGGAAACTCTTTGCACAGCTCTGAAATTATACTAATAAAAAATATGACGAGATCTATTTGCTTATTTAATCAATTTGGTATAGGCACTAAGTTTCCAAGGTAACAGAAATCAGTTAATTGTATTCATTGATAGAAGTGAGTTGTCACTTCATAACTGATAAAATTTGAAAATTACCAGTATCTTGTTTTCATCCTTGTCAATGCAATGCTGCTTGAAGAGAAAATGTAAAAAATCAAAGTCGATCATCACAAACCACAAAAAGTATTATAAGTAGCATGTCATTTGGTTTAAATGACTGAAATATAATTTTAAACTGCCGTGCAGTGATCTGCTAGAGTGAACATTTAAGATTGGAGCTCTAAAGGTGGAGTCAATTTATCATGCTCCACATTAACTTCTATTGTCTTTGATTCCATCATCTCAGGATTTCTAGAGGAAAGGGGACTGACGTACGATTTACTTGTAAGGTCAGTAAACAGTATCAATAATTTAAATTTCACTATTTTATGATTATTTGTGGATGGGGAGTGAATATTGTTGATTATTCCTGAAATGAAGTCAAGGAAATTATTTAAATATTCTTTGAACCTGAGGCAAATAATTCTTTTAGAATAGTTACTGAGGTGCTTTCAAATTCTGTTGTAAATATTTGTTTTGATGTTGAAACTATTTTGATTACTAATATCAAGAAAAAGAGCCAGTTTCCACTAGAATTTTCTAACTATAGGGTCATGTAATTTGAATTTGATCACCAAAAACTTTGATGTACATATCTTTCTTTTGAAAATGTTACTCCAAACTTAAGAGCATCTTTTGTGCCCTTTGGAATTGGATTTTCTCCACTGCATTTATGACCTCCTTGCATGGTAACACTGACAAAACATAAGGCAGCCATTTTTAATTTAGCACTCCTGTTATAATCAGTTTGAAAGAGGTGATTATAGTGAGATATGACACAAAATTCAACCAATCAGAGTGCACGCATCTCTATAATAATTAAGCGGAGCAAGTATACCAAAGTGCCCTAGTCCCTTTCATTCCTAGGACCGTGACTAAAGGGAATTAGTGATCCTTACAATACATTATCCAGAAGAAAGGTGACAAAAAGAAAGAAATATATCATCGAGGAGATTTTAAATGATTTACCACTAAATCCTCAGAGCTAAAGTTTTTAAGAAATTTTTGATACAAAGCACAGAGAATTGATGCTATGATCACAGGGGTGAAAGTGTTATTAAGGCTCAAATGACAACATGAATAAACCACATGCTAGTTTGGTTGAACGTACATTTAGGACTGAGATTGTTACAACTTGCAATGTAACGAAAGTGGTAGCCACACACCCTGCTATCATGTCAATAAAATTAATGGTCATGTAAATGAAGTAAAGGTAGTTCTGTCATGGTAGTTAGCTAGCAAGTTTGGTGCATGTCATATCTGGTGAATAACCCTTGGGTGAATTTCAATGCCACTTAATGGCCAGAAAAGGTAAAACAAGGGTTGCAGTTCCACCTAGCATGTTACATGGCATGCACACTCATTTACATGGTTGTACTCCTGAGAAATCGCAGAAATTTATCAATTTGTTGATTTCTCTTTTCAAAGGACAAAACACTTGGATTTGGCTAATAGTGTGGTTCAAAAGTTTTCAAAGTAAGTCTTGTCCTACAAGTATTTTAACTTGTTTCTTATTGTTTTCTTTTCATTGTTTTCTAATCATTATATATTTTTTATGTTGAGAAATGTAGGAAGTAATTAAATGGGTTTATATTACACTCTTCCTTGCTTGTACAGTGAGTCTATCTATTAGAGGGTCAATTATTTGTCACTTTGCTCTCTCAAATGTATTGCATATGATATTTCTAAATTGCCAGTTCAACTTCACAACCAATACTACCGATGAAATCATATATCAACTACCGTTTTTTTTTTTTATTTAGATGGACCTATTTTTGAAGGGGGATGTCTTAAGACAGAAGGGCTTATTACTGAGGTTTTGTGCAAGAGTTATATGGCAACACCACTTGAATGCATGCAGTACATTTAACGAATGGCGTACACTATTGAGTTATGGATGCACGCGGGAGGTTGCTAAGCACGAAAGAAGCGTAAGAGTCGCTCGAGGCGATAGCCGAGAGCGACTCTAGCTTGTTGAGTGCTTAGCAAACCTCCCAAGTGCATCCATAACTCAATAGTGTACGCTGTGGTGTTTACCATTTGTTTTATAACATACCATTGATAGATTGTAGCTAAAGAGTTCCCTTTTCTTTAACAAATCTTACGCGACCAGAAAAAAACAAGCGCGCGCGTAAAAATAGTCTTTGCATTTGCTCACGTCAGCAGCGTACACCCATGGGAAAATGGGGGACACTAAATTGACCAATCAGAGCGCGCGCTTTACTTTGGTTATGTTATAATTGTTGTTATAGGCCCTTGAGCTTGGCTTTTATGTTCTAGATGTTGAACTGTTTTGCTCCGCCACTCTGCAGGAGCGTGTTGTAGTCATTTAAAATTTTGTATGGTTTACAAAAATATAAAAATTAAGAAACTGGTGCCTGTTTAACAAGGAGATCAATTGAAAAGTTCACTTTTCAACTTTAATTCTTTACCTTCTCCAATTTTAGCCTTCACTTTGTTGTTGACCACGCTGCAAAACCAGAAATTAAAGATGGCAAGGTAGCTGCTTGGAAAAAGGGAATGGAAATTTTATCTCAAAATCCCAATGTTTTTTGTAAAATGTAAGTAAAGCTTGAAAGGTATATTTAATCAAGAGAGGTGTCTTCGTCTCAGTCACAGGTAACTTGCTGAGACATCCCAGTATCCGGCCATTACCTCTCTTTTTGAACAGTTAGAATAAACTCTAAAAAAACATTTTAGTCGAACCAGTTCAAGTTTGAACTGACTTCTTATGGAAGAAAGATCTATGGAAACTGTCTGCCAGTTTGCTTTGTTTTGAGTTACCATCTTTACCCCCCTTACGTACCATGCCAGCCTCATCATTCACGGTTCTCCTCCAGATTTGATGCATGTTGGTTGCTGAGTGTTCAAGGTCTCATTGAGTCAGTGCAACCTACAGTTGCTGAGTATCGTTAGCGGTAATAGACGGGTTTATAACAGTGTGGCCACGGACTAAAGGATTGTTAGAATTCATCCTCCATTCCATAAGTTGGACTGTTTAGGAAAGATTGTTTCGACATTTTTTCTCCTAACAAGCTTTCACAACAGTGGAGTGGAAGAATGTAGCGAGTTTTTTTTTCTTGACAAGTGTCACTATCAAGTTCTCTCTTTTAATTTATGGCGAGAGCAGGTCAGTTTTCCCTAGAAGGTGCACATCCAATAGAAACCGACTTGCTGTGTAAATCGGACCTAATTTGCGTTAACCTGCTTGAACTTCGAGGTCTTTATCCTCTGTTTTCAGATCGGGACTAGTGACGGAAGCTTCTCATGAAAATTGGACAGTTGAAGACTTAATTCCTTACGCAAAGGTCAGTAGTTTTAATGACTTCTTGAGGAAGACCTCTGAAGCTCAGCGGTTGGGCATCGGAGTACAAATCTGAACAGATTGTGGTTTGAACCTTAACGGGGAATTTCTTTCTTTGGTATCTTTTATTCGTTACTTCTTCACGCCTGATGTTAGAGTATGGTAGAAGACAAGACTTAAGTTCGAGTAATTTTTCGTATTCCCATAAAACTGTATGACAATTCGCGCGTCCTCTTCCTGTGGCTGTCCGTTTGCAGTGTTTAAGTTCTCTCTAAAAAAAATAGGCATACCTTGTGCGGCCATTCAACGGACGCGAATGAGTGACAAAAAAGCCTTTTGGTCGAGTGCGTTTTTGCGGCTACTGTAGCTCTGAAAATAGAGAAGCTATGTATATTTACCTTCTCTTTTCGCCAATTCTTTAGTTCCCTTTGAGACGTATATCACGTCAAATACACATGCACCGCTATGCGTTGTTATGCGTCATCTCCACATCGTGCCAGTCTTCCCAAAGTTGCTTAATTATCTCTTACAACTACCGCCAGTTTTCTATCTCTTGGTTAACCCTTAATCTAACTGCCAAATTAGCCAAGCCCTTATTAAATGTCGTAGCCTGACTGGGATATGAGCAATTTTACTGGTTTCTTGCCGTGTCGGTGGACAACTGAAATGCGCCGTTGATTGTCAAGCATCTGAGAGTTGATAGACACTGATCAGTGCCTAGGCAGACGTCAGTTTGCCCCCACTAAGCTTAACTTTTCTCAAATTTTGCAACATCACTTTATTTAACTCCATCGATGTATAGTTTCAAGTTTACCGATTGATGTAAAATACAATACAATTTTTTGTTTTTCCCCTTACTTTATCGTAGCATGTGACTTCCGTATTTGGAGCGCACCGATGCATGTTTGGCTCTGATTGGCCAGTTTGCACGATGGCGAGGGACGCGTCATACCAGAAAACTTTTCAAGCTTACCTCCATTGTGTTTCACATCTGACGGAGGAAGAGAAGCAGGCGATTTTCTGTGAAAATGTAGTGAAATTTTATGGACTTACATCTAGTAGTTATTGCAAATGAGAAGACTTACCATTTCAATTCCGTCAGTAGTGTTCCATAATCCTTTCTTCAAACTATTTCGAGCAGTTTTTTTAAGTATCACTAAATGTGAATTCTATGACTAACAAAGCCTGAAAGATAAAGGCGAATTAGAAAGAATAATTAAGTCACTACACGAATCTAATTTGAAATTTCAGTTGTCCAAAAACCACACTCCTCACGGAATTGTTTTCTCTCTAGTACCTATAAGTGATGGCATTTTAGCTTAAAACAGACGTGTCAGGTCAAAGTAGTTTGTACGCAGCTTTCTAGATTTTAATTAGTACTCACGAAGGTACAATGCACAAATAACGCGTAAGGCATAATTCTTATAATGTGGATTTCACATTCACAGTCTAAAAATTGGTTTAATTGTTGGCCTTAATCTCGTTACCACAAGCGCCGCGAGAGTATGACCACAATATCATCCTTAATTAAGATCAGCTTTTGTGTTTTATCTGCTTTTTTTCAGTAGTTTATTATTAATTTTTTTTAACATCTCTAATTTAGTAGACGTTTGTATGATGAAGGTGTTTTGCTGTAACTATTTAGTATATGTGCTATCTCCTTAAGTGTATTTAACTTTCATCCATCCGTAACTGCTCTGTGGTAGTTGCCAACTCGAAAGCTTGGCTCCTTTGGCAACTACACACTCTTTCCACTGCTTTGTGTAAATTCATGTATAGTTAGAACTCTCTTCTTTTTTTTTTTCTACTTTTTCTCTTTCTCGTTGTTGTATTTTTAGTAGAATAAGTGTGAATAAAAGAATGAATGAATGAATGAATGACAGACCACGAACGAGAGCAAGACGCATTGTAGGCAGAACACTTCTTACGTCACCCATTTTAGAGAAACTTATAAATAATGATACATAAACATAATTGAAAAACTGAACAGATAGATTGGTACCGAATATTTAAAGAAATAGAGATGAAATTGTAGCGAAATGAGTAACGGAAGTAAAAGAATTATAGTAGACTTCAATAAATAAATTCCATTTAATTCATCACAGCTGACCTCAAAGGTGGTAAGGACAGAAAAGTGGCACAAGAGGCGCAGCCGAGTGTGTGTCCTACCGCTTTGTGCTTCCTCAAATATTACAGCCGGCGGTTTTCTTTGCGGGGGGAGGGGGGCAAATACCCGCATCTCAAACAAAGGTCTGTGATCAATTCCTGAACAGACGCGCAACAACATGAATTGTATTTTTTTATGTGATAAAAATAGCAAAATTTTATGAATGGCGACGTTATCCAATCGTCTCTGCAGCGATAGATCATAAGTAAGAACCAATCGAAATCCGAGGTGGATTCAAACTTTTGATTGATTGAATTTCTTCATTCAAGAATAGTAGTACATACCAAAAGAAACATACCTAGAGTCCTACGACTGTCAGTTACGACTGTTTCGTCACGCATTAGTGAAAATGCATGACCCTACGGTAACCGCATAATTAGCATGATTTATCGACACCTTCCCAAACATCCTTAGTTGCTGAGTATGGCGGGAAGTTCTGAGCCCCACTTTGCTGCAGTAACCCTCGAAGATTTTACTGATTCACGGGTTGGAGACATAACACTCAGCGAGGAGCAGAGTAAATTTCTTGATGCTGTTCGCGATGGAGACGCACACGGCGTTCGTTTGTACGTGCTCGAGAAACATGTCGAAGTGAACTGCGTGAATTCGTCTGGAGAAACAGCTCTGCTGCTAGCAGTAAATAACGACCGTCGCGATATCGCCAAGTTACTTCTTGAGAATGGAGCAGAAGTGGGGAATGCCTTGCTTCAAGCTGTCGCCAAAGATTCGGTCGAGTGGGTGAGAGCGTTACTCGACTTCGCGAGGGACGCAGACAATAGGCCGGCTAGTCCAAGCAATGTGTCTTCGGAACAGCAGACGAACCGAGTTAAGCATAATAAATTAGTTTCCTCTTTAATGTTAGCTGCCCACAAGGACAATCAAGAGATCGTGAAGCTTTTCTTGGCGAAGGGTTTCACGATTGAAGAACCACCATTTCATGACAGATCCTGTGAGTGCGACGAGTGCATGCGCTTGGGAAAGCGACTGGGGACTTCTCTTTACCGTTTGCGGAGTTATCGAGCGCTGGCTAGCCCTGTATACTTGTGCATGTCCTATTTACTCGACAAATCCAGCGACCATTCGGTGGAAGAACAAGACATAGCCTCGTCCAAAGATCCGATCGTTCGAGCTTTCCTTTTAAACCGGAAGTTAGAGAGTCTCGTCGATACAGAGTACGAATTCAAAGCAGATTATAAACAGTTGTCTGACAACTGCGAAGAATTTGCAGTAGCACTTCTCACAGAGTGTCGTACGATGGAAGAAATAAGTTGTGTAATGGAGGTACCTGGTATTGATCAAGTACAACATGTAGAAGTCAGAGGGGGACCAGAAGCCCAAAAGCTCAGCGTGCTGAATTTTGCCATTGCTAATGGTAACGAAAAGGTACGATTAACAATATGTTGGCATGCGTAAGAAGCAGTTGTTCTGGTGACTAGGTATAAAGCAGTTTTCAATTTTCATGTCATGCCTCCTTTAATTAAGAGAATTTGGAAGAAAATAGAATAATTAATGCAATGTCATTACATCTCTAACGTAATTAATGGTTATTAACGTCAGTGGTCTTTCTTTTGAGGAGGAAGGAGAAGGAATAATTCTCTCCGTCCACCGTTTTTACAGTGCTTCTCGTGAGAATTAATTTTCGTATGGTGAATCTACGAGCAAGTTTATTTATTTTTCTGTAACACCTGCAGAATACTCATGAATATTGAATTAAATTTTTTAAAATTTTCCTTAAAAGGAAACACCATCGTAGCATATAGGAACTCGGGTTTCAAAATTGTTTTCATTGGGACACCGTTACATAATGGATTTAAACCTGTTGGGTGCAAGCTCAAGTCTTTGTATGGGCGTTATTATTTTTTGAGATATCATAACATCTTGTTTTCTCCAGTTTGTCGCTCACCCTTACAGCCAACTCATGCTCAACTCAGTGCTGTACAACAGATTAGGAGGATGGGAAGATTTTGGGTTCCTAAAGAAAATGGTGTACAGTGTAATATATACATTACTGCTGCCAATACTGGCTCTGTTTTACTTCTTGGCGCCTAACTGTCAAGTCAGCAAAATGCTGAGGAAACCATTCTTCAAGTTTGTCAGTCACGCGGGTTCGTTTTGCAGCTTTCTTATCCTGCTCATATTTTCATCGATTCAAGACTTCTTGTTTGATGTGCTTCAGTTTTCAGTCGTTGGTAGGTGCTTTTCTGAAAATTTTTTTAACGTTTGTCAGTCATTTGCTCTCATAAATTGTTACCTAACCAACTGATGGGTATTTAAGTAGTAGTTGAGTAGGAATGTGAATATATTAGTAATCTCTAGTACGTTGAGTGTCAGAAGTTATTTGGAAATGTTTCGGTTTTGAATCACGGCTTCACAACGTGTGCTTGTCTGCGCCTAAGACAGTATACTTAATAGATCTTACTTTGAGTATTTATTGACACCTTGAACAGATAGTTTTATAGCACTGTGGATCGCCGGCAAGTTGTTCCAAGAGACAAAGAAAGCATTTCGTCAGGGAAAAGAGCGATATATCTCACAATACTGGAACCTTGTCACGCTGTTCATGTTGGGCCTTTTCGTGCTCTCGGGATTTCTTTGGCTCGCCGGGTTTTTCATGACAAAGCATGAATTTGGAGGCTCGGCAATACCCATTGAAGAGGTATTTGGTGACAAAGCCCACGTGTACGCCTACGACCTTCTTCTTTTGGCTAATGCCACATTTTCTATAGGTCTGGTTTTGAGCTTCGTTCATGCCTCTAATTTTTTTCAAGTCAACTCCATTCTCGGGCCTCTGCAGCTGTCCTTGTTGAAAATGATGCGAGACATCCTCAAGTTTCTGTTCCTGTTTTTGTTATTGTACCTTGCATTTGGTTGGGCTGAGCGGAAGGTTTATTCCCAGTACGTACAAGCCAGGGAAAAGTTTGTTGGCAATAAAACCGAACACAAATTCTCCGAGTAAGTACTAGATATTCATGTGTATAAAATATAATGTTTGCCTAGGCGATAATGGAGATACTCGTGCCTTGAGTTTTACCCCAATTGGTAGAGGATAGCAACATGTACACGTCATGCTACATTCACCCCACCCAAGGCAACTGATTTTAAGAATTGCCGCAGTAAAATAAAAACCAGACCCTCGAAACTCGATTCCCAAAATTCGACTCTCGATTCTCGAAAATCGAACCTTGAGACTCGAGCCTCGAAACCCGACCCTCAATCCATAAGAGACATTTGATTATTGGAAATGTACATTCGAGTTGATACTGTTAACATACAATTGATCGATTCTGATCGATATGACGGCTGAGAAATGGAGCTCGTCTATCGCACTTTATTTTCATAACGGACCGTTGTTACCGCAACTCTTTGAGCCAAAACGTCTAACACTAATTCTAAGCCTTATGTAGACCGCCTGGTTTTCCTCGCAAATGGTTAGCTAAAATGATAACTTAAAAGCTTTACTTCAAATATTTTTTTTTTGTTGGCATGTTTCCTCAAATGATGTATATGTGGGCTTCCTAGGGGGCCGGTCATTATTTATCCCCCCTGGTAAGAGGGGAGGGGGCGTCGAAGGATTTTGTCTGTGTCACGATAAAAAAATCTACCTGATCCCCACTCGAGGGTCTGTGATATTCTGCTGATACCCCCCCCCTTTGGCAATTGATTGGAAGTCAATTTTTTGAGTCCCCCCTTCATGCTCTTTTGGCGACGATTGATCCAACTCTGTCCCTCCTAAAAACCATGTGATCCCCCCCTAAAATCTTCTGCCCTCTCCCACCTTCTTCCTCTCAGACGATATATAATGACTGGTTCCTGAGAAGACTGGTTTGTGGAGACCCAGCTTTGAGCCTTGGTTTCGCATTATGCCGGATGTCTCGTTACCAGGGGCGGATCCAGGATATTTTTGAGGAGGGGGTGCACCACTAAAGAATGGCGTAACTGACTGGTGACCAGACGTAAACAAATTGTAATAGTGAATACGAAGAAGGCTTTAGCCTAGGCAATAACGTAATATGAACTGCTGAGAATACATATGAAACGATATAGTACTTCCACACCAATAAACCACATAGTGTTCTTTTTTTGCAGAATACCACTTGTATTAGAAAGTCGCAGGTCATCTCAGGGGGGGTGTGCACCCCCTGCACCCTTCCCACTAGATCCGCCCCTGGTTACTATACTACACCAGAAAAAAATATCTAGGGCTTTCATTTTGTTATAGTTTTTCAGACTCGTTGGCGCGACAACGCGCGAATGTCTTTCCAAACTTCCTTCGGTTACAAAACAGCCCTGAGTCGCATTAGGTATTAGCTCATTA